GCCAAAGAAACATCTTTTTGCCCTTATCGATTTTGTTTAAAAAATATTATATATAAAACATAATAAATTTATACTCAAATATAAGCACCCCCCCCCCCCCCCCCCCCTCTGCCAAAATCTTAGATTTTTTGGTTACTTATATTCGGAGATATACGGTATATTTAATTATTTGTACAAAATTTTTTCTTTAATAATCAACAGCATATTGTACACATTGATATAATTTCAACGAAACAGACGCTAAATTTTACGAGAGAAAACATTCGAACATAACCCAAACAAGTGAACTTTACATCCTAGGTTTTACATAAAAATATATTTCGATAATGCGTAGAAATTCGTGCACTTTTTATCGTTATTCGAATTGTGATGGATAGATACAAAAGCTGTTGCCGAAGGAATTGGCAAGAAGCTGTAATTATCACACATTCAATTACAGAGCAATATAAAACAAAAAATGGCGGAATGATGAATTTATAATACAAATACTGTAATATTTCGCAACGTTGCTTTGACCTAAGTAACACTAGTTAGACAAATTTTTGACTTTGGCTTCTGCTTGTCATAACTATCCGTCCATTAGGTAACTCTCTTTTTGTAGAGGAAATTTTCAAAAGGGAACCATTAGAAAGTTCTAATTTTTTTATCAGACCGACGAAAAAATGTCGAAAGCTAGTCATGTGAACTCGGGTTTCTTTAAACCTGTTAAAAATTGATTCAAACCCGGGGGGTCTGGTGTACGGGGGAGTATATACTATCATGGGAGGTCTTGTAAAATTTTCAATGCATATATATATATAACATACTACAACTTCCCATGGTACAGAGTATGTGGTTTCTCTTCAGTGATGGGAACTTCAAATTTGAATTTTTCTAATAAAGGATAAATAAAGTTTACAAATTGGTGGATTATTTATACTTTATACCTCTTCCACTAAGTGGGGAACAAATTACGATATGTGCACGTGACTGAATATCTGCCTTGAAGTTAGTTGGCGACACAGAATTTTTGTGTGGTATACGTAAATGTAATTGTTTTTGGCATATATATAATATTTTAGTTATTTTATGTATTTTTAATTCAGACCTCGCCTCGATTTAACGATGAGGTCGGGATATATAATAAAATTGAGGTTCGTTAAATTGAGCCTGATTTTTCTGTGCTCTTATAGAAAGGGATTTATGGGTGATATCGTTAAAGTAAGATCTGTTTCACTCTTTTTTAGAATATTTTTTTGTGTGAATATGAAAGGCTAAATTTAATTTAATATTTTCTATCAAATATTTTTAAGACAACATCGATAAGGGAATAAAGTGCATTCTATGACTTTACACGCGTAATTTTTTTACATAATACTTATACAAATCAAATTCTCACGCTTGAATGCCCAGCATAGCGAGAAATATCTTTGATTAAACAAATTTTTGAGTATCATCCGAATTATTCTTATGATGAAGTTTGTTTTCCACTTTTTCAATGACGCTGATAATCCTAGGTTGTCTTCCATAGCCCCATAATAACCAAATGATCAATTCAGCTATTAGCAAATTTGGGAAATAAAAAAGCCAACCGGTAATAATTAGAGATTTTTTTTGTTCTTCGCTCATCGCTGAATTTTTCACGTCAGAGATTAATAGGAACACATAGAGACGATATAATGCACTCCCGATGGCCAAAGCAAATGTTCGTACAGCCCATCGCTTATGTTGACCAAAATCCCGCTTGCGCGCATAATAAAATGTTAATAAGGCGGAAAAGAAAAATAGAAATCCGTAAATTGAGAATGACACATTCATTTGTGTTCCACCCACAGTGCCTCGAATAAATACGTAAAATAGGCCACCAATACTAGCGACTACTGATCCCAAAATTATTAGACGTCCACTATAAATGTGAAATTTAGGTGCCCGTTGACGGATTATCGGTAGTAATTGTAGATTTACTAATAGAAAAAAAAAGAATGAAAATGCATAAGAATGAATCATATAAATAAATAAATAAATGCAATAAATACATACTTAACAAAATAACGACAATTCCCCCTATCCAATGCAATCCAATAAAAAAAGCACCGTAACCAGTTGTCCCAAAATTATCAATCGATTGCCATTTATGATATGAACGCAAGAAGAATTTCTTAGTTATATAACACGAGAGTCCAAAGCCAAGTAAGAAGAATATTATCCAAAAGAAATATCCAAATATTAACAGTAAACTTCGAATTATTGGGGAAGAAATGTTTAATGGACGTTTTTTAGCATACATTAATTCTTCTTCAGTTACTAGCTGAAATGTATTTGGAGTGGAAGGAGCATCTCCAGAAGATGAATGGTCAACATTCACTCTGGCAAGAATTGGATTTATTGCTCTAACATTATTATAATTATTATCGTTATTAACTCTATTAATAGTTGATTTTACAATGATGGTATTATGCATCCTTCAGAAAAAATAAATAAATTCTGAGCGTCGTTTGACAGCTAGAAAAAAAGAAGAGAGGAAAAGCCCGTTTTTATACAAGTCAAAGGTGTTATTTATTTATTTGTTTGTTTGTGTAACATAGCAAAGAATTTATTGTCATTATTATCATTATTAAAAATGGCACAAAATAATATAAATAATATACGCGCATAGTTTCACAATTTAATTACCTGACGCAGGAAAACAAGAACAACGATCATGTTGAACTAACACTTTTAAATTCCTTTTGTCTAGACTCAAAGTTAGAAATAATTGAGATTAATGAATGATTAAGATTTCATAAATATGCCTCTTTGCTGTCGATCTCTATTTTTCAATTATACATTGTGACATATATTGACTTTGTCTTGAAATCACGTGCGATATCTATGTAAAATTCCATATCTCCGGAGATTTAGGAGCATCTTAAGATTCGATTGTCATAATTTATTCCTATCCCTCAATTACTTAATAAGAAACCTTTCTTTAGATTTAGATGGCGCGAAGAAGATTCATCTTTCAGGTCCATTTTACAGAAGGACTAATGATGAAATTAAACATTTAATCAGGATTTTATAAAACAAGAAGAAAATCACAGAATTCACTTTGTGTTCTTTTTGTTGTGTTTCAATATTCCGGATTTTTGAACTGTTATAATATATCTAATAGTTTTAAATTATTGATTACAGTACATAAGTTATAAATTAGCGATTTGAGAGGACTGATATAGTAACTTACATTGAATTATGAAGCTTAGCATTTAACACTCGTCCTCTTAATTAAATAAGGTCTGTTTTGAAAACATGTTTTGCACTTGTAAATGACATACGATTACTAATCTTGACTTTAACTAGTTAGTATTCAAGCCTCATTTACATAATCAAAATTAATTTAAATAAAATTAAATGTAATCATTTAATAAAATAAAATTAATAGCAAGAGAATTAATATAATAAATCAGCTATGTACTTGGCTATTTTTCATGAATATAAAGTCATTTCAACAAAACCTTTGGTTTCCTACGAGCTTACCACTTATACTAAAGAGCACTATGTTAAACTCTTCGAGTATTAGTGATATCCATCTAGAGATGCATGCTTTATTCAAAACATCACTGGGACACTTGATGACTCGTGAATTTTTCGAAATGTCGTAAAGTAATGCCAATCCCAAAATCTAAACGCGTAATACTCAACTTATCGTTATGAGGTGTTGGATTAACAACGACCCATGTATGTGATTGGTTGATTTGTTGATGATCCTTATTTGGAAACGCGACTCCAAAGATCAGAGATAGAAACTCAAGGTACATAGATATTTGGACAACGGTCTTGTCTTTTGAAGCCCGGTGAGACACCTTTCAACAACCCGTTTCCTCGGTCTATGTTTGTTTAAAACACTCGGAAAAGCCTCGGCCAAAAAAAACACCCAAAGAAATATGGCGCGTGGCAATACCTCTTCAAAATGTTCTCCAAACACGAAGGAAGTAAAACCAAGTACGGAATTTTACCCTGAAGGCAAGTCTTTTAATTACTGAAAAATTATCCTGTTCTTTATTTCTTGCAAAAACATTTATCTAATAGAACTTTCTTTATTTAAAGAACGCTCTAACTCGTCTACGGCGCAAGAGACGTTTCCCTGGACAAACGCGACCCCGCCCCCGTTTGTTTTGATTAGTGATGTTTCGGTGAATATATTTAATATATTTTTACTCTTCGATTTCCTGTGATATTTACCATATAGTTTTTCTTAGCAAATATTGCGAGCTAATATGGGTCGTCTGAGCATTAAAGAAGAAAACGAAAATGCTTGTAATAATTCACCACGACTACAGATGGAATGGTAAATTTAGAGTTATTTTCCTAATATTTAATATTTGTTCGCTAGACTTTAAAAAGTTAATTCGCTATTATGCTTGTATGATTCAGTGAAGGAATTGAAACCGTTCGTAAACCAAGTTTATTCAGTTCCCAAGTTACAGAAACTGAACAAGACATAATTGACAAACGCGTCGCATTACAACAACGTCAGGTAATTTTAGAATTCCAGAGGAACAGTAATAAAGAATTCGCCGTTATTTCAAATGAATTTGTTTATGAATATTTTTAGTATGCTGAATTCGAACGACGTGAATTCGAAAGAAAATCCCGAAAAATTCGAGCGGTTTTCGAATTCTTGTCAGATGAAGAAATCAAAGAAGCATTGCAAGATTGTGATAACGACGAGGTCCAATTTAAGGATACTGTCTTTTTCTCGAATAAAATATCGTCGTACTAATTTTCTCAGGTTTTTCCAACAGGAAGAAGTCATTGTTAGAATGACACAGCCTGGGTACTTGGTTTACACGCGCAAGACGATTGCTCAAAAGTATCATGGTCCGACGCTCAGTAAGTGATTTGACTAATGACAAATTTATCATGATAAACAAAAAAAACTTGATTTCTATTTCATAATTCATAGCAAATCACATGTCCGAAGAACAAAAAGAGGCATATGAACAACTTTTGAAAAAAAGGAAGGAAACTCTCAAAAAAACCACTGGCGAAATTGCGAAAAAGTAATCACATATATTATTGAACAGTCTTTGCGAACCTCAATCTTTTTGTCATATACTAACCTCCCTGGTAGGCAATATCGTATGAAGGGGCGCCTTGCATTAGATGATGCTTTGAAACAAGTTCAAGATAACAAGAAAGATCTCGAGAAAGCTTTTGAGGGTTGGTCAGAAGCTCGCATTAAAGCGTTCAATGCAATTGACACTAAACCAAATACCTATTATTATCGGTTTAATGCGCCGGGCGAAATACAGAAAAAAGGACAATGGACAAAGGTATTATCACCACCATCATCATCATTACTTATACGACAAATCACTTAAGTTTGACTTAAATATGTATATTAATATTAAATAGGAAGAAGAGGCTTTATTTTTTGCTCGACTTGCAGAAATTGGTGCAGATGGTCAATGGGGAATATTCTCAATGGCTATTCCTGGTCGTGTGGGCTATCAGGCATGCAAACTATTCATCGTTGCTGGACTTGGTGCATTATTTTTACCAGAAAATTAAGCTAACAGTTTGACTTTTCAATTTTATAGTGTTCAAATTTTTATCGATTATTGATTGAAACTGGACGCCTCAAAGATCCAAATTACGTGCTCGATGAGAAAGGCAAAGCGCATTACTTGTTCAATACCAAAAATAAAATAACCGGCGAAACAGAAAAGACTTTTAGGACTCATAGTAAGCATGGCGGAGGCTCTGCACCTCGACCTCCTAAAACATCAACGTCCAAAAGTAGCACCAAGTCAACCCCTATGAAGAAAAGACGAAAGAGAAGCAGCCACTTTAATAGTGATGATGATTCTGGTGATGATTTTGATTTTGACGATTCTGGCAGCTATACTCTCAAGTCATGGAGTGGGACTAAACGGACGAGAACACGAGGCTCTACCAATCAAGATGTTGAAATGCCGGACATCACCGATCCTAATTCCAATCCTCTCCCCGGCTTTGTCGATCCCATTACACTGGAAGAAGTCATTAAGCCAGCTATCTCTCCTTATGGACATGTTATGGGGTTGATACATTAATTCAAAATTTATATCCATTCTTTATATGAGTTTTTGCTGATCATTTTTTTTCCTTCAAATAGTTATGATAGTTGGGTTCGATGTCTCTCTTCGAACACACAGAAGAATACTTGCCCATTAACCAAAAAACCTTTAACCAAACGGGAACTCGTTATTTTGACTAAGGATAATATTGACGAATTTCGGTATTTAAATTTTTTCTATTTTTTTTTTTTCATTATTATTTTTAAGATTATTAAATTTTTTTTCCTTTTTCTAGTGATAAAATAGTGAATCAAGGGTTGTAAATAAATATTTAAAGAAGGTATTGGATGTCTCTCATTGTGATTATAAATAAGTTATATTTTTATTACTAACCAAAACTGATCAACGAAAATCCTCAACCTCTAAACTTTTCTTAGTTTGTAATAAGATCTCAATCTGCCACGGTGGGAAAGGAGTCAATGCATCATACTCTTGACATGCGGTTGCAAAAGCTGATGTGTCATAGGCGTTCTTTGATTCAATTAATTTCTGTCCCATAAAAAATATTTTTTTTAAAATGTAAATAAATATAATGGGACAGTGTTAGAGATCAATAAATTTTCTTTTAGTGTTATTGGTACCTTAATTAATTTAGATTCTCTACTATCCGCGAAAGAAGGATAAAGTTGACAAAGCTCTTCATACTGTTTTTCAACCCTAATCCAATCGCACAGAGCAATCAAACAAATACATTCAAGAAAACAATAATCTTTTACTTTAAAACTTAAAACTCGATCGTTAGCCGCAGTGGCAGTCACATTTTCTAAGATTTTAATAGCTTCTTCGTATCGACCCAGCTCAGCCGCCAATTCGGTTTGAGAAATTAATGAGAAAAGATGCCGACTATTAGAGGATATGAATGTGTAAGCGATTGATTTGAATAGTAAATTATAGATCTCGTGAGAAAATTTGACATATACCCATCATCTTCCCTTTCAAATAATTCCGCTGCTTTTTGATGCATCTATTGAGAATATCATTAATACATTTATACTGATTAAATATTAAAAAAATTACAAATAACTAACCATGAGGGCTTTTTCCAAATCAAACTGATCACTTTTTTTATTTTTATATAGTTCCGCCAATTGCTCGTACACACGAGCAGCACGATTTGCACGTTTATCATGAACTTCGTATATAGAAGCAGCAGTCTCTAACGCTTGAAGAGCTTTAGCTAATGAAGAATATATATCGATCATTATTTCGGAAACTATGTTTTGATAACATGCAATTAATGTGTTATTACCAGTTTGTTTGGTCTGTTGAAAAGCTAAATAAGCATTTTCATAACAGCCAGCAGCCTCGATCTGATTATAATCACCGCCAATACTTTGAAATCGTTTCGCGGCTGACAAGTAATATTTTGCAGCAGATTCGTCTTTTTTACGTAGTAATCAGCACCGTCAAGTCAAAAGAAAATAATGAATTATCATCATAAATCAATTAATTTTATTATCAAAAAAGTGATCCTTTCTTTTACACCAATTAAAAACTCAAACTCACAATTACACGCTCCTTTTGCTTTTATAGCTTGATCCTTTTCATTAATGGCCAAATTTTCCAACTTTTGCATTTCAAGCTCTTCTCCCTTGCTGCTGCTATTACTACTACTACCACCGCCACCCGAAAACCACCCTCTAGCAGTTTTTTTATTTTTAACTAAAATAACCTGACTTAAGACAAACCAGTTACCAAGAAACCCGAGATAAGTAGCGCTACCGTCACTTAGGGTAACTATGCTGAAACACAAATAATCGTCGCGTTTAAAGTCTGGAACGCGAGGTTTACTACTTAAAATGTCATTGAAAAAGGAAGTAAGTGCATTCGATTTATTCTTGTTGTTCTCGTTGGATTCAGACGTAAAATGGCTACAGAAAGAGGAATTATCGGGATTTGTTTTATGTGCTGCATAAAGAAATACAAAAAATAATATCCATCCAAGCATTATGACTAAGCAGCAAAGTTGAAATCGATCTCATTTTTAAAATCACACAATTATAGTAATTTATCTCAAGTCATTGGATTCAACAAAAAACCTTTCTTATAACAAAAGAAATTTAAATAGATTTATTTTGAATTTTCTCTTTTAAAAAGTCAAATTGAATAATTATAAAGAGATATTTATAAAAATATCTTTCCTTATAATTATTTTTTATTAATACTTCTAAGTTTGGATCGGATCAAAAGTCAACCTGATTCATATTTTGAATCTCGAATTGATCCAAAAACTTAACAAATCTGGTTTAAAATTAGATATAAATCAAAAATAATTAATTGAACAGAAAAATAATTTTTATTATGATCTGGTGCAAAATGATTTGTATCTCAATATAAAAATCTTCTAATAAAATCATTCAAATTTTATAATTTTTTATATTATAGTGATGAATAAAACATAGTGAAAATTGAAATTTTCTCTATATTAAAATTTATAATTTTATTAAGAAATAATTTTTATTTTTATATCAAAATAAAGTTTATTAGTTATAGT